AAAGAATAATGATCTAAGTCGTATCACCCGCGAAAATAGAAGGATAAGTCTATATTTCTGAGCAAAAATTTTGAAATTTAGGTATGAATTTGATTTAAAAAATAGCGCTGAAAATATGTCGATATTTGGCCTTCATTCGGAGTATCAAGTTGGTTACCAGTCGATCGAACATCAATCGCCCCCAAAAATAATTTAAAGGAAATTTGAGTAAAATGACATCGATTTTAGTTGTTCCCAAGGATAGATCTTCAAAATACTAGAGTATGAGAGAAATCTATTTTTGAGCCCCATATTGACCTGGAGGTTTTTACGGAGACAGCCTCTTAAGGTTTGCAAAGGACAACCTTTTTTGAATTAGCTGGATACCTTAAACTCTAAGTGCGCAAAGCCTAATTGGAGTACATGTTTCAAGCTTTCAAGCCGATCATATACCATATATACATATACACAGCAAATTCAAAGTAGGTTGTTCTTCAGAAATCCCAAACCTTAAACTGTAAGCGCGCACAAAGTTATGGAGTTATGGGTAAGTTTTGTCAAAGAACAACCTTTTTTAAATTAGTCGAAGTATCAATAGACGTTTAATAAATTTAATTTTTGGTTGCATGCCACAACCTTCGACAGAAATAAATTTTCTGGCGAAGGTTGCATGTGACATGCAACCGAAAAATAAATTTATTTTCAGTTTATACTTTGACGTGTGGTAGAAAAATATTTATATGATTTTATTTATTATTTTAGTATAACTAAGTTAAAAGTAATTCACCTTCGCTCTTTTCATTGTCTATTTCGGGCACGTAATCCTCGTCCCCACCACTTTCAATCTCACTTTCTTGATCACTTTCAGGTAGGGAATCGTCATCACGTCCAATATCAATCTTGGTCCCGCTGCGACATGCACCCTATAAGAAGCATTAGTAAGCATTTTTTCAAAGATAGATTAACTAAAATACTATTTCATTAATATAATATAATCCATTCAAAATTAAAAGCTAGCTTTAGCCGTCAGACTCGATAATACTCAAGTATACTTGAATAAGCTGCTAGGAGTAACCCTTAATAGAGATTCCCGCTCCTCATTCCCCAATTCCCATGGCCCGTTCCTTGTTATTGTTATAGTAATAGCCATTACTCAGGTGCCGAATATTTTTTTAAAGTACTTGGACTTCAGAGAAGATCCGCCTGAATTATTTTAGGTGCTATGAAAACAACACCATCTATTTGCATTTTTTAAAGTTTGAACTGGCTACCTTTTCAAAGCAATCCGTGAAGCTTTTAACAGTGTAGTTTTTAAAAAATTGTAGCTTTTAAACGTGTGAATACTGCTTGTTGTAGTCCAGATTATCTAGATTCATCTTTAGTGAGAAATTCGGACATAAGCTGAATGAGCAAGAAGCAACCACATTGCACTGTTAATTAATGGCAGAAGTATAGCTTTAAGTTTTGCTTATGCACAGGAAGAAAAATGGCTTCGCCAATTTAATACTTGCAATTGAAGATACAGGCCAACCAACATCCAAGGCAAACTGTTAACTACGAAGACAACCTACAGGCAGCCCATGCGAGAACTAAACACTTTGTTGATGTAGTGATGCTAAACACTTGATGGAACCATTATTCGGGCCTTTTTTCACAAGTCAGCTGGGTTTTTTTTTCACAAGTCGCGCCTTTCAGTCAAGCGTTGTAATGCCGGACAATTGGAATATATTGTCATGAACCATATAAACATAGATCCGATCGGAAATACAAGTGCAAACGCTCTATTTATGTAGACTATAAAATAGAGAGATTGTTCTTAATAAACCAGATTCTATATACTGAGTGTGTTGAAGTGATTATTGGGGATCTCGGTACGCTACATATTCTTGATCCATTATATGTTTTTATCAGCACATTTACCTTGTGACCAGGATACTGGTTAGCCGTCTTCGAATGATCTGTAATTTAAAAAAAAATTCAGTATATAGATATACAAGGCGAACAAACAATAGGAAACGAGGTCCTCTACAAGGTTTAAACACCTGAAACTAAACTAATGTAAAAAGTATCCCCCTCCCTAATTAATCTACTCGAAGAGTTGGTTCTACATATTATAATATTCTAACCAATAACTATAAGTGGTATTAGGGGCTGTTTACATGAGCCCGGAACCGAGGCACCCGGCCACAGACAAATTACCTTAAAAAACCATTTTATTTTACATTTAAACCGGGCCAGCCTGGCTAGCCGGGATCTCACTTGAGTCAAACGGGGCGCCCAGTTAACCGGGCTAAAATTTCCCATGTAAAGTCACCAGCCCGGCTAGCCAGGCTATTGCAAAAACCGCTCTACGAGCTACAATATCGATTTGAATTATTATTTTATTGGACAAGTAGTTATTTCTTAAGTTGTTCTTGTTGATTAGATAGTTTTAAATTGCAAATTTGCCCTATAAAACATGCATTTGACATGCGTGACTCGTAAGCAAGTTTTCCCGCCCAATTTAGCTTGGTAACGTTTCAGCCCGGTTAACCGGGCCAAGCCGGGCTCATGTAAACAGCCCTTTAGTATAAACTTAGAAGCGGCTATTACGTGTCCAGCATTTTGATTAGCTACGCTACTATAATAGGCTAGTGATAGCCTAATAGGCTAGCGATAGCCTACTATAGTAGCAGAAGAGCGACAAAAGACGTGTGAATCAAATGGCTATTTTTTATTTAGGGGCTGATTGCATGGAGCCATTTCAGCCCGGTTTGCTGAGCTGAAATGGTATAACGATTGGCAGCTTGAATCCGGGCTGAGTTTTAATCAGAGCTATATTTATCCCTTGTGGTAAACAAATCCGGGCTGAAATTCCAGCCCGGGCTGAAATCATATGATATCACGAAATAGCCAGTAAGGCAATATTTCGCTTTTTTGGACATTTAAAACGCCGATTATTCGACTATTTGACTTGTGTGAGGCTGTGGTTGCATATAAAGCATTAAAGATGGAGATAAAACACGAAATAAAGCCATTTTAACAATTTTTTTTCAGCCCGGGCTGAAATTTATTTGCGATTACATGCTGCCCGGGCTATCTTTTAGCCCGGGCAGCTCAAACCGGGCTGAAATGTCAGCCCGGGCTGAAATTCTTGTCATGTAATCGCGCACGCTATTTTATACCGAGTTTATAGTAAAACCGGGCTGAAACTTCAGCCCGGCAAACCGGGCTGAAACTCAGCCCAGGCTGAAATGGCTCCATGTAATCAGCCCCTTAAAGAAAAAAAGCTTCATTAAATAAATGTTTTATTTTCACTCTTTAGAAATTGTTTATACATATTAAGGTAAGGTTTTGAATGATTTCTCAGTTTTGTTTTTTGTTTTTATCTTGTTTTCCGGTTGAAAAGCTTTTAATATAATCGCTAGTCCGTATGTAGTTTTCCGATTAAATTTTAGGCCAAACTTTTGCCTGTGTGTCCGCAAGATGATAGAAATGTTTTGTTCACTTATTTTGTCAAACAATTTATAGTTGTTTTTTTATTGTTTTAATTTAATCTAAACAGAGGTATTTTTAACAACATTTTTCTTCGGAAAACAGCGACTGTAGCTTCAACGGAGGATCGGGAATTTCGGCACTTATACATGCATGCAATATAATTTCTTATTTTGGACCGGGAGTTGTTTCCCGCAAGGCCAGCGGTATGGACAGCGGGTTCATTTTCGGAGCTGTTGTTGTTCGGTTGAAAACTCGTGGTCGAGGAATTTTCCATCGAAGCCAACTTTAAGACTTTTTAAGTGTTATTAATTTGTGCGAATTATTGGTGTGTTATTTGTGTATTTACTGTTTAAGACGTGCTTGAGAAGAGACTGGACGGTAAAACTGATTTATATTGCTTTCTCCGACGATGTATTGTCTCTGTTTTGTATCGTGTATAATATATTTTCTCGTATTTATATGTTTATTTTTTAACTTTTTTGTTCGCTCTGCAGAGAACTTTATCGTAATTTATTATATGTAATGTCATTTGACTTTTGAGGATAATTTGTAAGGCAAAATATCTTAATTTTGTAGAGTGAAAATAAAAACCGTATCTGTTGTCTCGACGAGCCAGACGAGGTCTTCTTGGACGTCATATAAGATAATTATAAAGTTCCCGGAAGGCCCGGTATATATATATATATATATACCAGGTGGCGCAAAAAAAAGTTAACCTGTTTGATTAAGCATAACTTCTAAACGAGCGAAGCGATCAAACCGAAATAAATTTCATTTGACAGAGGGAAGATTAACTTAGATTTTGATATATTACAGTTGTATTTTACTTAAAAATTCATAGAGATATGAATATTCAAAGTCGATAGCATATTTCTGGACGTGTCTAAAATATGCAAAAAACGCTGTATCAAATATTAATCAAGCTTTGCTCAGCTTAAAGACATATCAGGCTATTTCAATAAATTATCGTAAGGGTTTGTAAGGGTATAACTTAGATTTTTATATTTTACATGTAAGTTTAAACTCAACGTTCGAAATTATGCAAATGTTTGATAAATCTTTATTTAAAGACTTAAAAATACCTTAAAGTCCAGGGCAAGGAGTCCGCATACATTTTCCTTGAATCTTTTTCGTATTTTGGGTAGAAAACAAAGTAGATTCTGAAGGATTAAATCTTGCTTATATTTTGAAAATAATAATACTTCATTTCATAATAAACAATTTGTCAAGTGTCATTTATTTGCTGCTAATAGTGCGTGTTTCAGTCGAGCAAAGCTCGATTAATATTTGATACAGCTTTTTTGCATATTTTAGACACATCCAGCAATACGCTACCGATTTTGAACATTCATATCTCCGTGAATTTTTAAAGAGTGAGTGTCAACCACAATCCAGTGCGCGCTCGTGTTTGTTTATATGCGAGTTAAGTCTGCATAACAGGCAGTATCGGCGGGCACGAAAGGCAGACGGATGATATAAAGAGTCAAGCGTGCTTACTTCTTTTTGTACTTTTGCCTCGACTTTTGCTGTTGTACTTATTAAAAATGTCAGATGAATCGTCAGATCCAGACTTAGCAGAAGAGCGGTATGATCCAGAGGACAATTTAAATGCTTACGGCTCACCTGTTGTCCGATCTCCAGATGATATTAATATTAATGAGATTGTCGAGCAATCAGTTGTTGGCATTGTTCATCCTGTGAGAGCACAAGTGAGTACAGTGACAGTGCATATAAATTATATGAATATTTATATTGCAATCTTCGAAGTGGCACTTTTTTGATTACTTATATTTATACTATAACATTATTGCTTTTTTTATAGTTCTGTAGTTGTAAAAACACGTGCAGTAAAGGCAGTGGGAGGAAAAAGAAGGGTTGTCCTTGCCGCGACGAAGGATTACAATGCACAGAACAGTGTTCATGTGGAACGAAGAAAGCTTCATGCAAAAACAAGGCACAAGTTGGCTCATCTACACATGATCCAAGCACAGGTCTTAACGCTTTTGAGCGACATGCACTTGCTGCTGAAGAGGCAAAGAGGGAAATTACCGTAAGTCCTAACTCCTGAGAAGTCTAAGAGCACATTGTGGTCGTTGCATTTTGCTCATCGCATTTTGAAAAGCTGCCCAATCTGTCGATAGTTCCATCTATATTGTGGCAGACATGGAATATATTGGTCACAATATGGGGGGAGCTTATGATTTTTTGTCCTCATATGTTGCAACACAGTGGTGGAAATTTTGTTGCCCCCCCCCCCAATCAAAATGATGGTTGTTCAGATATTGTCTTAAAACTACAGTATGTCTCCTGTAGAAAGTGAATTAATAGTTCCATCACTTACCACTGGTCACTTCAAGTTTTTTCCAGCTACTTTAAATTTGAATTTTGGTTTATTGTAGGAATTTATTGCTACTCTTGATATAACCCAAAAGAATGCACTATTGGTGGATATATTATCAAATGGTAAGGGAAGCCTTGACTACGCTAAAAATTTGGTGAAGTTTGGTGGAGACATACCACCAGCTCCTGCAGAAAAACCACCATGGTGCACCTGTAGGGTTTGTCGACCAATGCCACATGAAGAGGAAAACAAGTGTTGCGGGAAAGTTAGATGTGTGACGTCATATGTTACCTTTCAAAATACATGTACAGACCGCGATGTTCTGACTATGGCAATCAGAGGCAGATGTGACATTCGGGCAGATGAACCAGACTATTCGACAAATAGTTTTCGCAAAGCTGCATATCGCCAATATATTTTGTGGAGATAGAAAAAATTGGGAAGGGGAAACAGAAAAGTTGTGCCATGATGTGTTGTTCTTACAATAAGGCATTTATATCCAGCAGAAGATGGCCAATACATGGGCTTTAGGAGGGCATGAACAAAATGTGACCAGCTTGCCCTTATAAACCTTGGGTTTAACATACAGGACTATGACAATTGCCATCATATTTTGCTGATGAAAATGTTATTTTGCTTGTTTCTTATTATACATAGGGGCCATTCACAAAGGATGTCCAGCCAAATGATGGATTTTCAGAATTAGTGTGACAGAAATAGTGACAGAATTAGTGACAGAATTAGTTCACAATGAGAAGGACTGCTCAAAATAGAGGGAAAAAGAAATTTGTTTTTGAATTTTTTAAAATTCCGGACATCCGGATTGCTAAAAACTCCCCCTATGTGCGAGTTTGTCCTGATTTTCCAAACCCCCCTCCCCCCCCCTTGGCTCGGACATCCTTTGTGAATGGCCCCATATTGATTGAAAATACCTAGTTTCACCTCTTAGGTAAGAAACCAGTATATCCATGCTTTATACATATGTACTATACTGTAGCTTCGGGACCAAACAAATAAAAATTTTGATGGAAGGGTAATATCCTAGTGGTAATAATTTTAATCCAGTACTGGCAGTACCATGTCACTGACACATTTCAAAACCACAAATTGCAAGATATATAACACATGCACAAATTTGCAAGATTTATAACAGTGTTTATAATATAGGTACATCTTCATTTGACACTAGACTGTCATGGATGCTCAACTGAAATGTCAACTTGGCTGCTGCTTGTTCCTGCCTCTGCATTTTTCTCTTCTCTGCTAAATCTTGTGAGGGCCTTGCTGATAAGATCACTGGTCTTTGGTATTGATGCCATGGCAATAGATGGTGCAATCCTTTTCGGGTGTTCTGCTGGAATCACAACCCTGCGAAGAATAGTGTGGTTGTCGTCAATTCGACTTTTGAGGACTTTGTAGGCTAGAACTGGACAATAATCGTACGTTTTCTCCTCTTTAATAACAGAAATACTCCAATTCTTGGATCTTTTACTGTACACCTTGTTGTATTGCAACTTTCCACTTTTACCAAGTTTTGGTTTCCTGCCTATGTGTGAATTGTGATCAATTGCTGCTAACAATACTCGAGCTGAATACGCCTCATTTCTATAAAATTGATCCGGAAAAAGTGATGCTGAAATGCATAAAGCTAAAATGAAATTAACCCATTAAGCAGAGATTCCCCATTGACAAGTAAAATTGTATGGCGTTAGACAAGTGAAAAAAATAAGTGGGGCACATTTCAGCTCAATGGGTTAAATAGGCATTTGTCCGAATATACCTATTTTAGTATTTTTTTTCTGTCTAAAGCCGCATTTACATTGCAGCAATTTTTTGGCCTAGACCTGGCCCTAATAGTGTGAACGGGTTTTACCTGGCCTGGACCACAAATTATGGGCCAGCCAAAAAGACCTGGCCTGGACCTCGATTTCTCTAGTGTGAACGTTTTTTTTTTGCTTCGACGTGGCCCAGGCAAGCAATGTTGCCATAACACCTCAAGCCCACGATAGAAACTGTTCAGATTCTGATAAATAAAACATCAAGTAAAATTGAATTGAGCCGAATTAGCTGGCCCAAGCTAGTGTAAACCAGTGGTGTAAACAGGTTACGTTTTTGCCAGGTACAGCTCAAACAATCGCTGCAGTGTAAACACGGCTTAATTAATAAGAGTTTTTACTAGCCTGCTCGCTAAGTTTTTACTTGTATGTGGAAAAAGTGTATGTACCACCAGCTACCAGGTGAAATTACTGTAGATGATATACAAAGTCAACACATAAGGCAAATCATATACTCACTGAAATCCAACCCGTTTTGGTGCATATTTCAAGACTAACGAGTTAAAGTTTTCTATCCTGCTTGTGTGTCTGTAAAACAGTTGCACATTCAAAGTTTAACATACATGCAATACAGTATTTATTCATAAACATTCACCTCGTACTGTATATTGTTTAAATATCAGAAAATACATGTGTGTACTGTATATACCTGAATGTCACGTAGTGGTGCAGCGTGCTTAGAAATCGAGGGTCAATCACTACTTTCCGTATTGCTTCCAAAGCCTTTGTACTTTTTCCTATAATTGTCTTTCCACCTTCTGATGTTACCAATGGTCCATGGTCACATGCACCATCTGCCCACTCATGTTCACCTGTCACATGATGTATAACACCAAACCAAGTATCCTAAGAATATGATTATGTAATTATATAATATCTATTGCATAAATATAGTATTACAACTGCAAAAAAATAATTGCATTGTTAATTACTGTATACCCGGTGTGTACAGCAAGTTTTAGCCTGTAAGATAGCTGTCAACGAACATTGTATTTTACCCTATTCCGAATTTTTCACTGTATCCATATCAAGCATTTAACTTGTATACAATTGCATTAAACAGTTCTGCTCTTCAGTTGTTATTTTGTATGGTACTCGATCACTGCTAGTTAATGGGAAAAATATTGAGAAGTACAGTACAACTTACAGTACCTTTAATGTATTGACATCACCATTGCAACTTTCAGCAGCATGCCAAAAGTGGTTGCGAATTGGCTCTATCCATTCTCTAATAACTTCACAATGTTTCACCTTTGCAGCCTAGGTTTCCGTTTTTATATCAATTTTTTAAATAAGTTAGGGTTAGGTTAGGGTTTAGTTTTGCGTTATGATGATTTTTTCTACGTTATAAAAACGGAAACCTTATTTTGAAGTATACTATTTAGCAATTACCTTGTAATTACAACGTTCAAATTTTAAAAATAAACGTTGAAGCCACGCCCTAAGAAACGTCGAAAATCTGCCTAGAAACGTCATCGTACAACTGTTAAAACTAACGCGACAACTATTCGCATTAAACGGTCTACCTGAATCTGCAGTATATGCCTTGGGATAATACAAGGTTGGGGGAGAGGGCTTATTAATATGGGGTAGGGATTATACGCAGACAATATTTGTGTTTAACCTATTAAACTGCAGAGCTTCCCATTGACAAGTAAAATCGTCTGGCATGAGACAAGTAAAAATTGGTGCACTGGGCTCAATGGGTTAACTAGAGACATTGTCAGATTTTTTGGTTAAGCCATTAAGCTGCCTCCATTGACAAGTAAAATCGTCTGGCATTAGACAAGTAGGAACAAAAAAATAAATAGGGTACACTGGGGCACATTGTGGCTCAATGGGTTAATTTAAGTAATACCGTAAACAAATCTTTATTGTCAGTCATTAACAGGAAAATAGTGACTTATACGAATGCACTGGTCAGTAAACATAGTGGGCGCATATATTTGGGCAGGCTTGTATTCATGGGGGGGGGGGAGGGCTTACATTTGGGATGAGGTGAGCATTAGTAAATGTGGTGGGCCTACTTTATACTAAGGGGACATAGTGATAATACTGTAGTTTAACCCATTAACTGGCACATAACTGTGTGGTATAATTATCAGACATAATTGTATGGCATAAGAAAGATTTAAATATAGAGTATGCACAACTGGGCGCATTGCCATTAAATGTGTTAAGACATTATTAGTAACTTTACCTTTGACAATTTTTTTGTCAATTTCACAGATTTATGCCATATGTCTAAGGCAATGAACAAATCTTGAAAATGCTCTGGATACTTTTCTATGAAATGTAAAACAATAAACACATCGCCTATTTAATTGTAGCAAAAATATGTGCAGCATAATACATGTGGCAATTATTTTAAAATGTCCGACTTGTGAAAATTTATAAATACTGTATTAGCTAGTTCTGTGCTTGAAGGGTTTATCTTGGGACTCTGATCTTGATTCATCAGTACAACTTTTACAAAATACCTTTATAGGCACTTAACCTTAACCAACCAACCCTAATAACCTTTGTCCATTGGGTAGCAAATACAACAAAAATTCATCATTTAAATTTTCCTCAATATATCTTACCTTTCATTCGACGAACCAATGCAATTACAGCTGTGGAAGCATCTGTGACAATCTCTGAAATACTAAGTTTTCCTACAATCCTTTCCAAAAGATTCTTGAGGCAAAACACTTCCATATTGGTTGAAATACCCCCAGTTTCTCTTTTGTCTACATTTCCAATGTCAACAATAATATTCAAAAATTGTTCCATCAATACATAGGTACAATATTTAGCACAGTGGCCAGGAGAGTCATTTCGGCCATCACCACAAAAGTGAAGTGATTGCAGGAATAGCATAGTTCCTTTGCAAGCGACTGAAGGTTGCTCTTGAGATAAAGCCCAAATTCATGAACTGGCAAAACATTTGAATTTTGTCATAGTTATTACCAGTGAAGATAACTGCTGCAGCCAATAAAATGGAATTGGTGTAAATGTTTTGTCCCTCCTTTTCGCACAACAACCTAGAGGATGCCCAACGCCCTTGGTGGCCATTAGTGCATTTCCAGTAAACACATATAACTCCAGCCTCAACCTTTGAAGTTGTTACTTTGCTATTACCGGAACATGATTGATGTTGACAACCATTTTCAAACAATGGTAACAATGTATTTACATCAACAATTACTCGATCTTGTTTGACATGTTCACCATATAAATGACTTTCCTTGCCAACTCTGTTAATTGAAAAAAACTTTTCTTTAATCCTTTTGGTCATACCATCAATATATTCATCCAGTGTCTTTGGACCATATTTTACATCACATGGTGGTAAATCCTCACATGGTGGTAAATCCTCAAATGGTGGTAAATCCTCACATGGTGGTAAATCTTCACATGGTGGTAAATCCTCATGTGATGGTAAATCCTCACATGGTGGTAAATCCTCACACAATGGCAAATCTTCATATGGTGGTAATAAATCATCTAATGGTAGTTCATCATCAGCATCCATGGCAATATCTTCCAATTCAGATGCACTCAGTGTAGTATCTGCTTCATAATCATCCACAGACCTTTAAAAAAATCATAAATTAAAAATCTCAATAATTGGATTCACATGCATACAGTCATGTATAAAGACTCTGAACCCTTAAAACTTGAGAACTACAATAAATTTACAAAGTGCTTACATGTCAGTCAAAGAACCAGAAGTAAATGTAGTTTCCCATTCACTTTCACTACTATCACTTATTACTGGACTGGAACTACATGGTAAAGAAATACAAAAATACAGTATAATATTATACAGGTTTAATCTGTCCAAAATGGGAGGGTTTTCGACAAATTTGGTTGATACTCAATTTGGTAGATGTTCATTTGGCCACCTGTAATCAACTCAAGATTTCAAAATTCATCCCTTGAGAATAACAGGGTGGATAGAAGAACCTCTGGCAACCAGGGAAAATAAAATAATACAATTTATGAATTATTCATTTACAGTATGTGTACCTAGTATATTCAACATCAGATTCCATCTCAGATTCAGAGCTTGATGAAAGACTGCCATGATGCATTCCAAATTCAGAGTTTATGCTTTGACATACAGCTTCCATCCTACTTGTATTTTGGGCCAGTCCACTGGCATCATATGAAGACTCGTTAATATACATTCTACTATCCAATGGATTGTCAATTGATGATATCCCAGTAATATCAATAATTCTAAAACAAAATCCATAAAAATTTAAAAATTATATATGTTGAAAAACTACAACAGATTGTATTTGGAATTGTTCATTTGGAAATGTTAATTGCATTTGAATGAAATGTTTGCATACGTTTCATGAAAGCTCTTGTCTGGACATATTGGCGAGGCAAGATGCTGTAAGCTATGTCCTAAATCGACATTGGTGTTACGTATTGGAGTTGAATGGGAATCTTTGACTTTGGAAACTAAAAATAAGAAATGCGGCGAATTAGGAGCTGGACGAACCTTTGGGCAAAGAAACAGTTATTTATACAGTTATACCTATTTATTTATCGCAGCTAGCTATTTTTATACCTGTTGGCGTTGATGGTAGTTGAGGGCTGCTTTGGGCTCTTGACAATTAAGTAAATACTCCGCAAACTCGCTGTGGGTCTTTTCAGAGAACCCGAAAAGATCTTTCTTCACAAGCCAACCGTTAAATGTGTCCGTCCGTAACCTTATTCGCATTGTTTGTATCCCATAACTGGGCCGGCCACGCTTCGGAGCTTTACCGCTCATAGAAGCTACTTTGTATATTCGAGAAATATGGCGAAATATACGTTTTTATAAAAAATATCCCCACAAGTCATTCGATTCAGATACCTCCTTTTCAAAATTACAAAAAATTAATAATTTATAAGAAGGATCGGAGAAATACTTCACGGATTAACTCCAACAATGATTATGCGGCCCAAAAAATGGCCGCAGGCAAAGAACACAAGCGCGCACTGGATTGTGGTTGACACTCACTCTTTAAACCATATGCAATTTTGTTCAAACAAGTAAATGTGCCATATTTGTTAAATATATAAAATTACTAATGCAATGTATCTAAATATAGATTGGGTGTCTACTTCCAAGGTTTTTGGATATATTCAAGCGGCCACCATACACATTAACTGTGAGAAATTTGGTGATATTGTTGAGCCCGAAGCTCAGCGAGGACGCCTCAAATCGGAGACAATTTCACAACCAAGTGTATGGGAAATTCATGCAGTACACAAGGCTAGTGGCTGGTAAGTGATTAATTTCAAATTACCTGAGGGACTGTTTTCTCTACCTGCCTCTACCGAGACTTCATTTCTGGTGTAATTTAATAGAATTGGCCAAATTTATATTTTTGGTAGCATTCATAACTCAGCTGCAGTAAAATGGGCTGTTCCATTTGATATCCGTACACCCCCTGTCGAGGACACATGTTTTTCATGGTTATACCCCTGAAGAATTCCAAGCTCAAAGCCTTTTACCCCTGAAGAATTCCATGCCCAAAACCCTTTACCCCTGAAGAATTCCAAGCTCAAAACCTTTTACCCCTGAAGAATTCCAAAATTTCAAGCTCAAAACCCTTTACCTCTGAAGAATTCCAAACTCAAAACACTTTACCCCTCAAGAATTCCGAGCTCAAAACACTTTACCTCTAAAGAATTCGAAGCTCAAAACCCTTTACCCTGACGAATTCCAGGGATCCTCGACAGGGGGGAGTATGGATATTAAACGGAATAGCCCAATGGTCGATGAGTATAAATTATGATCATTAATAATACAGTACAATAGCTTTGGAATGTGTTTGCTGTAATAAATTATTTATTTATTTCTTATCCTAGATGGAAGAAGGGGTATAATAAGCTTGGCCCATATACGGATGTTTACTACGTGTGCTGATGAAGAGCCTGTTCTAGGCTTTACACCTGACGAATTCCAGGGATCCTCGACAGGGGGGAGTATGGATATTAAACGGAATAGCCCAATGGTCGATGAGTATAAATTATGATCATTAATAATACAGTACAATAGCTTTGGAATGTGTTTGCTGTAATAAATTATTTATTTATTTCTTATCCTAGATGGAAGAAGGGGTATAATAAGCTTGGCCCATATATGGATGTTTACTACATGTGCTGATGAAGAGCCTGTTCTAGGCTTTACAATACCACCAAGTATCACCTTTGTAGAAGCAACAGGAGTTGGTAAATTTGTCCCAACTGCAAATACTTGCATATGTTCGTTGGTATTACCCTGTGCAACACACCTTATCCATTTACCAGAACCTACAATTCTCTACAACCTTTATGATCTTGCATTTGCAAATGCCTTCTTTGGCAACATTTAACATTAAAATTACAATTAGAAGATGCATGCAACAACAGCTTTGTTATGTTGTGGTACTGTACCTTATTCATTTTAATGTACTTTCCTGTAACAGTATGAATAATTAGTGTTACACTATTTTTCACGTATTTCTTTAGCTATAAATTAAGTTACAATTAGAAGATGATGTTTTGATATGTTGTGTTACTGTACCTTTATCATTAATGTACTTTCCTGTAACAGTTGAATAATTGGTGTTGCACTATTTTTCATATATTTCATTAGCCAGCTAAAAATTAAGTTTAAGTTCTAGTAATTTAGTTTAAGTAGTTTAAGAATTCATCTCTCCTTGAAGTCTTTGGTTTATGTTTGATGTAATTAGTTAGCAATATACCCTCCATTACAGAACGTTTTGCATGCACACACAATCAATGAGAGGTGAAATTGTTCTGTTATTTAATGGTTTTAAACAATATTAATATTATTAAGTTATTTTAAAGTGTATATGAAATGAAAATTTCGATATCCGGTTTTTTGCATTTTCTGAAAATTTGGTCTTTTCCGATCACAAAAATACAAACCTTGTTGAAAAATTCGAACCAGAAGTTTGTTAATTTTACGATTAAAGTTCGCTTTTTCGACTATCTACTGGCGAAATTCCTGACATTCCATTGCGCGGTCAGTGACGTATGCAGTATGACACAGTGCGACCTTTCGATATGTAAACACTATGAAAATTATAGCGTCGTCTGGGTAGAATTGGGTTTTTGAGCGATTTTGAAACGAATCCACTTTCTGTAGACTTCGCTTTCAATCTATAGATACAATATAATTACAACATGACGAGTTGTAGCGTATAAGCGGCCGAAAATTAAAATGCAAATTCGATGAGACAAGAGACTATATCTACGTTGTAGGTTTCAGACCGCATATTATGTAGATAGGCTTAGGCTATAGCTGATATTAATTATGGCAAACATTGTAGTAACTAGTGTAAGCATAACATGGAAATTAATACTAAATATCTACATTTACTGACATACCATAGCATGAGTATGGACCATTCCAAAACTAACAAATTTTGAATTGCATACATATATATAGCATGGTAAAATACGATAGGGTATTAAAAAGGACTTTACTTAATATAGCTGCTTCTAATGATGGGCTCTACTTCAGTACTTCATTATATTCTTTCACTCACAACCGTTCGTTAAGTTCACATTGAGAATCTATTACATGTAGTTGCGTATTTTTGTACACGAAATAGACCAGAATTTGAGCCTCTAGAAAACCTCGGCAAGAAACGCGTGCATGTTTTGCGTGACAGGCTGATAGCGTGTCTACCAACATGACGAAACTCACACCAGCACTCACACGCAATCTTGTTTGCATCTGTACTATATCTACTGTAACCCTATAAAGCAGTGCAGTCAGTTTTTATGCATTTACTATGCATGCTGGAAGTGGTCTGCAATTCTCCCATCCCAGCATGCCAAATATCATCCGACTATCCAACAATATGCTACTGCTCGAAGATATCTAAATAATCAAACGATATGCTACTGCTCGAAGATATCTAAATAATCAAACAGTGAGTCGTTAATTTCATGTTCGCAAATACTACTAAAGAAGTTACTTATGTATGGTCGGAATATATGGGTAGGGGTAAAACGCGGAAACGGAACAGACCGGCAGAACCGGAATGGCGGAACCGGGAAAACAGAAACAGAAAAGAGGGTAA